TCCAATAAGTGGGTCTCTACATAGCATGCTGGTATGCTCACAAGATTTAGTTATTCTCAGAACACATCTAGGACACACCAACAGGATTAGAATCCTCACACAACAGTGGCAAGTGCCACTTATAACATTTGGCTAGAGTAGGACCCCGTCTTAAATAGTGTTGCCTTACAGTTAGAGCACTCACTCAGAAAGCGGGAGCCCTGGATTCAATTTCTTCCTTGACCTTAGAAAGATCCAAACCCAAATCTCCAGTTCTGAGACTGCAGGCCTGGCATTGGGTAAGTCAGGGCTGCTGGGATGGCAGTATGGCATGGACCCGGAAGGAAGACCAGAGGCATCTCATAGTAGCCACTGAAAACTCATCACAGTGCACCAGTTTTGCTTAATGTCAAGCTGGGCTAGATTTGAACTGGTGCTTTGGAAGAATTTTTCATATCTAATTAAAAGTCCCTTGACACATCCAGTACCCCTCAAAGTCATTTGTGAAAGTCATTCTTTGATTACAATAAAAGACATAGATCATTTTGATATAGAGTGTTTGTACATATGCACTTGCACACACACACATATACAACATTGGCAGGATAATCATGAGTACATACACTTAAACGCCTGTATCTGAACATGTGAAGGGCTATGGCAATGTGCACATTTATGTAAATGTGTATATAGAGATGTGTGAGATCATGATCATACATATATCTATATACTAGGGCTGTCAGATAATTGCAGTTAAGGTATGCGGTTAACGCAAAACAAATTAACACGTTAATTTTTGTAACGAGCATTAATGACGCACATCTATTTTCCCCGGGGTGGGCAAAATATGGCCCACCCTGCACCCTCTCCAGACTTGGCCGGTGGAGCAGACCAGAATTGACCAGCTCTGGATGAAACCTGCACGTACAGCTCCGACCCCCAGCCCACTCCGTGCCTGCTCTGGACTGCCCACCCACACTAAGCAGTGGCAGCAGTGGTGGCGGGTGGGCTTGATGCAGGGGAAGGAGCAGCTCTTGCTGCAGCAGCCACCTGTAGCCCATCCCCATGCTGCCCTGTGGCTCCTCTCCACCACCATCACCACTGCCTTCAGGCCAAACAACAGTGGCAGTGCAGAGGAGTCATAGGGCAGCCTGGGCATGTGCTCTGGGTGGCTGCAGCAAGAAGGGCCCGGTATTGGCAAGGGAGAGAGGCCGCTTTTCCTCCTGCACTGAGCGAGCAGCAGCTTCTACCTGGCCACTAGGGCTGTGTAAAACAGAAGAGTTCCATTTTGACCAACGTTTCGACAGAACAGTGTTTCGTTGCGAATTTTGTTTCGAGTTGAAATGGCTGTTCGGTTTTGTTTTGTCAAAACGTTTTGCCGTTTCTATCCTGTTTCAATGTTTCACCCATAGGATATAATGGGGAAGGTTGAAACAGCCTATGACTTTGTCATTTCTGGCCAGGTTGGATGGAACTTGCAGGAATGATAGCCCCTTCTGAGGGCATGAGGCTTACCATGTTTCCAGAAGAGAGGTGCAGGGAGTTCGGAGAAACTGCACCCCAAAGACTTGAGAGAAAAACTCATGTCACGTGTATGTGTTAAGCTACAGCAGGGTCAAAACTGGAGGGATGGTAGCCCCTGCTGAGGCAACAAAGCCTGCCAAGTTTCAAGGAGATAGGTGTAGGGAGTTCAGACAAACTGCACTCCACAATCTTGAAAGCAAAACTCATGTCACATGTATGTGTTAAGCCACAGTGGGGTCAAAACTGCAGGCGTGCTAGCCCCTGTGGAGGCCACAAAGCCTGCCAAGTTTCAAGGAGATGGGTGCAGGGGTTTGGGGAAACTGCACCCCAAAATCTTGAAAGCAAAACTCATGCCATGTGTATGTGTTAAGCCACAGCAGGATCAAAACTGCAGGCTTGCTAGTCCCTTTGGAGGCCACGAAGCCTGCCAATTTTCAAAGAGATAGGTGCAGGGGTTTGGGGAAACTGCACCTCAAGCTGCGGACAAGCAAAACTCGTGATGTGGGTGACACTGTGTGTGTTAAGGCGCAGCAGGGGGAAAGCTGCAGGCCTGCTAGCCCCTGCTGAGGCCACAAAGCCTGCCAGCTATCGAGGAGATAGGTGCAGGGGTTCTGGGTTTTGGGACCTTGCATCTCTGGCTGCTGACAGGCAAAACTTGTGACATGGGTGCTTGTGAAGCTGTGTCTGTCTTGGGGCACAGGGGAGGGGAAACTACTGCAGGCCTGGCTGCTAGGGCCTGCTGCGGCCACAAAGCCTGCCAGCTGTCGAGGAGATCAGTGCGGGGGGGTCTGGGGCCCTGCATCCCCAGCTACTCACAGGCAAAACTCGTGTCATGGGTTCTTGTGCAACTGCTGCCTCTCATCAGGCAGCAGGACTGAAGATCCCCCACCACTTGCCACCACAGACCTGGGGGAAATAATTGACCACAGTATGAGCTGGCAGTGCAATGCTGTAGCCAGCACAGCCAACAATACATTGGCATGCATCAATTGATGCATCTCCAGCAAAACCATTGCAAAGAAGAGATTCAGCCAGAGGTGCAGGGCCCCAAAACCCAGAACCCATGCACCTATCTCCTTGACAGCTGGCAGGCTTTGTGGCCTCAGCAGGGGCTAGCAGGCCTACAGCTTTCACCCTGCTGCGCCTTGACACACACACTGTCACCCGTGTCACGAGTTTTGTTTGTCCACAGCTTGAGGTGCAATTTCCCCCAAACCCTGCACCTATCTCCTTGAAACTTGGCAGGCTTTGTGGCCTCAGCGGGGGCTATCATCCCTGCAGTTTTGACCCTGCTGTGGCTTAACACATACACATGACCCAAGTTTGGCTCTCAAGAATTTGGGGTGCAGTTTCTCTGAACCCCCTCCACCTATCTTCTTGAAACATGGCACACTTTATGCCTTGAGCAGGGGCTACCATTTTTGCATGTTTTATCCAAATCTGGCCAGAAATGACAAAGTTATGGGCTGTTTCAACTTTCCCCATTATAGCCTATGGGCAAAATGTCGAAACAGCAGCGAAACAGTGAAACGTTTCGACTTGCCTCATTTTGTTTCAAGGCTGTTTTGACCATATCTGTTTCATTTCAATTTTGATGTTTTGACCTCAAAACAGGTTGAAACAGCATTGGAATAAAACTGATGGTGAAATTTTGCACAGCCCTACCAGCCACCACTGTTGCTGCTCAGCATGGGCGGGTGAGTCTGGAGCAGGCACAGGGTGGGCTGGGATCCGGACTGTTCACATGGGTTCTGGCTGGTCTGCTCCAGCCAGTGCGAGTCCAGAGCAGGCATGGGGTGGGCTGGGATCAGGGCTGGGGCTGTGTGCTGTTGGTGATGGTGGGAAGGAGCCTCAGGACGCACAGGCTCTAGGCTGTTGGGTGGGGCGTTCTGACTGTTGTTTAACTGTGCAATCAAAATTGCCATTAATTGCGCCTTTTTTTTAGTCTCGCAATTAATTGCGATTAATTTTTTTAATCATTTGTCAGCCCTACTATATACATATTCTGCATGTATATGTGTGTACATTAGGACATAGCTTGATTCTTAGTGTTTTACTTCAGGTAACAGTGATGAAGCTTTTTACAGCCTGATGAAGCCATTCAAGAGAAATTTGGAATCCGTGGTAAGAACAAACAGTATGCAAGTGTGAGTTCGTGACTCTGTAACATGAAATCCCAATAAACAATTCTGACTAGGAAACAAATACTCATGTTATAAGGAAACACTCCTGGAAGCCTAATAAATAATTTGAAATGATGGTTTCTTGGTTTTAAAGTCAAACATGTGTTTGATAACTAACTAAAAACTCTGGAATGAGAACATTTGGTTTCCCAATATTTTCTATTATTGTTTTAGTTTTGTTCCATATCTATACAGAAAGGTCAGACTGGTGGAAAAATATTGGCCCGATTCTCAAGAATCAGGTACAGCCCTAGAAGAGCTGGACAGAATGGCTGAAAAGTTCAGCAGCCAAATAGTGCAGCACTGGCACTCTTGCCTGGCTTTTCTTACGATACAAAAACAGGGAGACCATAAATTAATTTGAAATACAGCAAATTTAGAGCCAATAAAAGTAGACTCATAGGTAATAATGGTTATCAACAAAAGGCACCTGTGTTTTAATTTTATACTTTATTGTTTTCCTCACATTTCAAAATATACAAGATGGGAAACAATATCCCTACATTGGAACGACTGTAATTTACATATGAAAAAATAAAGGTCTGATCCTGAAAATCCTTACTGAGAGAGTAATCCTTTCTCCCAGCATTTGCACTGACCTCAGGACTGAAGGGTCAGAACCTGTAACTATGTATATTAGCCTGTGGGCTGAAGTTGTACTTGGCTGATGACACAAGGTCAGAAATATACACCTTCAAGTTATACAGTATATACACGTAAGTGCTTCCAGTCTGTGATTCAAAATAACTGTGCTTGGATGTTCAGGACTGACATGGACAAAATTGGTGAGCATCAGATTCCCACACATGGCTAAAACTATTTAGCAAGATACTACTTTAGCTGGAAATTGTCACTGCCATTTCCTTTTTTCATCTGCAGGTGTTTCATTATGAGTTTAAATTTGATTGCTTTTTACACTGATATAAATCAGAAGTAACTTCACTGAAGTCAGTGGAGTTACACTGGCATAAAATCAGGCTCCATATTTAGAGAATATACATGAAAACAAAATAAATACATGCCTATACATGTATTATGTACATATGTCTATACACACACTCACACACACACACTACCTGCATGTACATGTGCATATAGTAAACACACAGCATCCCTCTGTCCACATCTGCTTCATTAATGATGGTGGGCATGGAGGGGCATAATGCTGGGGCAATGTCTACAGGGATACTCTGTGCAGAAGACATTGAACGTGTCTACATGAGACACTTTACTACACAGTAGACTAATCTACTGCACAGTAAAGCATCTCCATCTACATGTGCAGGCGTTTACTGTGCAGTAAATTAGTCTAATACATATGCAGGTAAATTTACTGCACAGTAAAGCCAAATAGCATGAATAGCACACGTAGATGTACCCACAGGCAAGCAGAATTCCTGAAGAGGAACAAATGCAGTTCCAGCAACTTATCTCAAATTATTTGCTAAATTATTTCAAAGGGTGCAGCTGGCATCAAAAGAGAGGCTTTGCTGCATCCATGCCCTCTTTCTGGAGTATATACTGTGGATGGCAGCATCTGCCTACACCTTGCACCCAGAGAAACCACACATTAGTATTATGACTGCCTTTGAATTGGCCTGGAAAGCAAGGGAAGGACTTGTTGTGGCCCCCTTCCCTGTGCAGCTGTAGTCTGGTCCTCGGTGTATATGCTTACTCTACACCACTGCTATATTGTCCATAACACAGCCACACTTCTCTATGATCATGTTAGGAAACTCAGCCACTTCAATTTCTGTGTAGTTTCCCTTCTTGACAAGATACATCATGGGAAGTGGGGAGCTCTCCACAATGGCACAAGTTCTCTCCCCATAGCCAAATCGGCGTAGCAAGCTTTTGGGCTGCATACAGCTACCCATACAGTGATAGGCCTGGTATCCTGCCGGCTCAATAATCCAGTACTGAGTCCAGGTCAGCTCTCGGAAGTTGATGTAGTGTTCCTGCCGACAGCAAGTTGATTTCTTCTTCAGGGTTTCCTCCTTACAGTCTCCAGGCCCTCTATCATAAAACACAGCCAAGAATTATCTCTGTGACTGGAAATTAGGACTCAAGCTGAAGAAATAGCTCTGTCAGTAACATTAGAAATTAGTCTGAACTGCAAAGCTTGGATCTGGATTTTGAGCTTGCTCATAGAAATCAGGGATGGTTAGATTTAAGGTCCATGTTCAAACCCATTCTTACTTGAGTCCAAAAAATACAGGGAGAAGAGAGTCCTGGAACTGGAGGCATGTCCCAACCATTACATTTTCAATAACTGAGTTCTAAGGAGGAAACTGAACCCTTTGGGCCTGTGTCTCTCTGCCCTAAATCTTGTGCAGTGATTTATACTTGTACTAAATGAGTGAGATAAACTATCATCTTGGAATAGAAATGCTCAACAAACTCCCTGCACTTATTTTATTTCTGCATAAATGGCTACTCAAGGTAGTAGTGAATCAGCTATCCTTTTCTGTCTTTAAAAAATTAGTTAACACCTTTACTTCTTCAGGTTGGTCAACACTACAAAGTTTTGCTGATGTATATATGCTCACTACAGTTCTGAAAACACCGCACCTCCTACCTAACATAGCTTTGCCAGCAACCCTCCAGAGCAGATACAACAATGTCAGCAAAACAACTTTTTTGCCAGTATAACTAATGCTGGCCGGTGAGGTGGTGGAGCTTCAGAAGCAAAAGCACCTTTTTGCCATTGTAAATTGTCTCTCTCCAAGGGGGCTTTGCCCACACACCAGTCCTTTCAAAAGCTCTAGGGTGAAGCCACATTCTAAGTTTTTGTGGTTTGAATGATCACTTGCTAAATATGTTAGAACTAGAGCTGGACCCTAATTAAAACCTGTAGTAGACTAAATTGAGATCTATACTTCAGAGCAGACTTCTACCTCTAGAGAGGGCCAAACTGAAAGCCCAGATCCAAATATTACAAACTTCAGGGAAGCTTGGAAATAGATTTTTGTCCAAACTTTGTGGTCCAATCGCATCTCTACGTGCACCAACCCATTCTAGAAATGTCCCAACTAAATCAAGGCCTCCGGTCATCTTGACTGAAAAACTTTTTCCAGTGTAAGCTAGGAACAAAATACCACACACAGTACAGACTTAGATTTGACACATACCCGTATACTTCCAGGTTGAGGGTATAAAGCACCAGTTCAGGTTTGCCCATGGCTTTATCCAAAGGGTCCTGAGAGGTAAAACGCACAACTTTGGCCATTTCTGAGGCGTAGCTGCCTAGCCTTTCTCCTTCAATCCAAATCTCTAGTAGCATCGGTCCCTGCCTCTCAGTTTTCAGCCAATAATGTATTGCTTGGGTCACATCAAAATTCCTCCAGCCAGACTCCATTATTGGAACCAACCTGTGAGACAAGGTAGGGATAAAAAAAGGTTGACTATCAGAGAACTGATGGCACAGGACCTGCAACTCCTCCTCCTCTTACTGCTCCTCCTCCTTTTCATCATCATCATCCTTTGGCCAGGCAATGCCTATAGACCCTGCAGTTACACAAAAGGTATGCAGATGAATTTGGTTCCTCCAGTTTGTCACACTTCTTGATGTCTCAATAATAGTTACTGGGTAATCTTAGTCAAATTTCAGAACAAAATTAATGATTAGATTTTAAGAGAGATGTACAGTTTCTATTAATCGAGAGAACAAGATGTTCTAACTAAAGGATTATTACAGTCCTTCATATCAAAATACTCATTATTAGTTAAACAGAGATTTGACAGTGCAGGACCATATTCAGCAGCAGCATAAATAAGTGCAGCTCTCTTTGCAAGCAATGGCACTTATACCTACTTGTTAATGCCATGACTGAATGCAGTCCATAAAGTCCCACCCCAAAATTAAATTGACAGTTTTTGTGTCTGATCCTGCTCTTACTGAATTCCATTACGAAGCTCTTATTGACTTCAGTGGGGTAGAATGAGAGTTAGATGTAGCATGTACCTAGTAATAAGGACTAATTAAAGAAATCTATGAAAAAAGCAAAAAGCCATCCAGCCAAGTTTTCAAAAGAGACAGAGAAAGAGAGGTGAATGATGCAGAAGAAGGCTGTGAAAAGAATTAGAACTGACTACTTGATGCAACTGCAATCTTTTAATGTGCTTATTATTTATGGTTTTCAGACCAAGTATAGAAATACAGTCAGTTCAAATTTCAGTCTTCTTAGCAATAAAGAAGCTCCTTTTATTATGGGCTTAAAAGAGGATATGGAGCCTGATCCTAGAGTCTTTGTTTTGGACATTTTTTTTTTTACAAATAAAGGCTACATGCCTAATTCTGCTCTCATTTACCCTGATTGGTTACAACTGTAACTCCACCAAGTTCACTGAGTTTCTCCTTATTTAGGCAAGTGCAGGTAACATCAGAACAGGGTCCAGTAAAATACAAATCCCCACTAGAGAATTATTGCTTACCTGGAATCAATCAGGGAAGTCCGGTTGGTGCCATCAGCTTGGCGTTGAACCCAGTAAACACTGACTCTGGCATTGGTGACTGGCCTGTGAGACTGCTTGTAAGGGATGTTTGTTCTGTTCATGGGCTTTTTGAAAAGTTTCAGCTCAGCCATTGTGACCTCACTATTTTCAGGTATCCTTCCCTCCATGTCAAAGACCAGATTTTGGCGTGTGGTGTCAGAATACAGAACTTCTCCAGCAATGTCTGTGTTTATTGGGAATAACAAAGAGACCTTGATGTCATCATTCCCACCACAAAGCTGTCACACTTCTCTGTCACTCACAATTATCATTACAACATGCTCACATTATGCTCCAAAGAGTGACTGCTTGAGTTTATAAGCAGATACCAAACACACCTTTTCTAATGACTTCAGTGAACTTACAAACACCCTTATCACCTTCCACTGCCACTAGGGAGACAATGGGAAGGAATCTCAAATTTTACTATATTATTTCCCCCCAAAATCAAAAACTCCAGTGGCTGTATAAAAGCAGAATGCTATAATGTATAAAATTAAAGAAAAACAAACAGTTTTTATTATCTGCCTTGAAGCACTACAAAAAATCATTGAAAAAAGCAGATTTTAAAAGAGTTAACGTATAAGTAGCATTAATATAGCAGACAAAGTTGCTTCTTTTTGTTGGTTTTTTTTCCAGTGGAAAACTGGGTTTTTAGCTAACCAAACATCTTCATAGAAAGGATACGCTTTCCACAAAAAAAAATTGAAAATTTTTTTTAAACCAGAAAATGGGGTGGGGAGAGTGGGGAATAAAGGTTTTCTGATGAAAAATCTAATTTTTCTACCAAATATTTTGGCCAAAAACTATTTTTTTTAAATGTTTGTCTAAATTTTCCAGTGGGGGAGGTGTGGGACAAAGACAATTTTCTAACAAGGTTTACTTAGCATGTATAATTTATAATCCCTTTTTTAACATGTTAATCTTTAAGTGGTCATCTTTATTAACCTAAATTATCCTGCTTAATTAAAGAAAGGTGTTTTGAGACAAAGTTCCATTTCAGAAACAGTGCTATCAAAATCCCCAAATAATTGATTTCAGCCCATTATTAATACTTGATGAAGAAAGTTTGGATGCAAACCTGGATCTGAGTCCCATCCCTGGCCTGCCCCCGCAAGTTCAGCAGCTGTCGGGATCTGGGGCTTTGGTAAGCTAACAGTAATAATTTCAGCGGTGTTACCTGCATTGCCAGGAATCCCTCTCAGGATGCCAGCCAAACTTGGCAAGGCTCTTCTCTTCACTCTGTGGTGCCTCAGCATGGAAATGTATTTGTTCCTTACGTGCTCTGGGATAACCAGATTCATTATGTCCCTCTTCTGAAGTTCAGGGACCTCAGACAGCTGTAGTTTCTGCAGCAAAGTTTCCTTGAGCCCCTGTTGGGTAAGACCACCGGCAGTCGTGGATAGGCAGAGTGCACAGAAGAGCCAGCTGAGCCTCACGCTCATCCTCTGTCAGTCGCCAAATAACTTATCAGGAAAGAACAAGCTGGTCACTCTCTCCTGGAATCTGCTCTTGGCAGAGGTGCCTTCTTGCTCGCACAAGCTGTCTGTGTGGGAAGGAGATCTAATGTGCTGGCTTTTTATAGCCAGTCTAGTCCCATTGGCACAACAAATTCCACAAGTGGAAATGAAGCAGAGGACTTGAAAGAATTGCTGCCCCATTGAGAGTAACACAACATGTTAACACTTTCATGTACTGTGAACTTAATACAAGAATATCAAGGCGTCTCTAGTTACCTGGGTTAGAAAAGGATTTCTATTCTTTTAGCTCCCTTTTAACTGTTCCCCACAAAAGCTCCACACAATTGGAAATGTTTCATGTTTAGTGCAGGCTAGAGTGAACTATTTCTGTAGAGTTTGAATGTATTATTTATCTATCTCACCAATATACACGGTACTGTACCACTTGTGTAGGCAGACATAGTCCTGGACTACAAAGGACTCACAGCCTAAAATAGAAGATAATGTCATTCCAGTGCTTAATTCATCAGTGGAACAGCTGAAAGTTCAGTCTCTGAATGGTAGAGCTTTAAAAAATATTTAATTTTAAATCATAAACTTTTTGTGCCAGGGACTGATTTGATTTTCATGGATTGTACCAAACTCTTTACAAGTACCAAATAATCATAAATCCTAGTGTTTTTTGGGGGTTTTTAGTGTCTTTTAAACCATGTAAGACATTTCTAAGCCACAGAACTCCAAACATGTACAAGTTTTACATTTCAGAAAAGCGTCCTTGCCATTTTTATGGTTTCTTGTAGGTTTAACAATATAACCTGTGTTTAAAAGAGCAGTTCATTATACAGAGGTATTTTTTAGTTACTGTTGGAAACCAGATTCACTGGTCTGCCCAACCACCCCCACCTCACTGCACTGATTTCCATGTCATGCATAAACAGTGAGAAAATATCCACTTTACTTGAACAGCTGTATTTTTAAGCAACACCAAAAGTTTCAGCTCCTGCAATTTACCAAAGGGAGGATTTCACCCTGAAATCCAAAATCCTTTTAAATATTACAGTGCCCTGGCATTCCACACATGTCAATGTAACACTGACATTTTGAACACTGGTATACTGGGAGGTGATCATTTGAGTTACACAATGCTCATATGGCTAAGTGTTAATTTGGCAGAGTTTCATCTGAGCGGAGGCCAATGGTAAAACCATGGTTTAAATTTTTTTCTTGGACATATTGATTTTTCAGTAAATAATCTGCAACAATTAACTGATTATAGCTTTGAAAGTGGAGATGTTTTCAGAGGGAGGAAGATCACTGGTTGTAAAACAGTGATAGGCCTTGCGTTCTGATTTGCCTTTCTGTCTGATTTCTTTTTTTAACCTGATCAGGAGAGCGATTCCAGTCCTCGTATCTTTTCTACTGATTTGTGCTTGTCTAAGTAGTCCCATTGACTAGCAAAAACTATTAAAACAAATACTGCTATGTAAAGTGAAAGTTCTTCATAGATCCTTTTGCAGCAAGGATTTCTTGATCAGAAAATAACTTGCTTCATGTCTGATGTCTAATCTAGGCTGAAGATTCTTCATTGACAAATGTGCATTGGAAGCAGATATATGGACTGTACATGTAAAATAAAATAATTGAGTAAACAGAATGAAGCTCAGCTGAAAAACAGGTGGGGATGTGGATTGCAGGCTTTTCACAGGATAGTGATTATCTGGCCCAATTGGAGGATTTGCCATTCTCTCTTTGTCATGCAAACAAGAAAAGTCAGAAATTGTATAATAGCCTTTTCTGGTCAATGTGGATTGGAAGCTACATGGTACATTTAAAATGTCAGACACGGGATTTAAAGTGGCTGCAAGGAATGAAATATGAGGGACTGACATTTTCAATACAAGTCAATACGTGGTGGGAGGGAATCAATCAAATGAAATTTTAGTTAATTCCAAAGTAGTTCTCTTGGCTTGAAAGGGTAACTTTGTTGGTTGGGCATATCTACATTGTCATTACAAGCTTTCTAATAAATAAATCTAATGGGTTAAAAGTAAAGTGTGAAATACTTAGACTAATTATGCAAATTTAGCCTGAGAAAGAGAGACATTGCAGACAGGCTTGATGTTCCCAGCAGAAAAATACATTGCCTGTCTGTGGGTGAAGAGTTGAGTCTTCAGCTTTTTGCGACTGATGTTTCCATGTACATAACTTTTGTGTCATGAGCTGATCCACATTTGAACAGCTTCTGCCTGAGCAAATGCTAAACATACCATTTTTAAATGTTAAGGAAAATGCCTAATTTGATATGCGCACATGGGGATAGAGTTGGAGCTGAACTGCAGATTGGTATCTGAATCTGGTTTGCACAAAAATCAGGAGTATTTGAATCTAGGGATTGGAAAATAAAACTGCCATATTAAAGCTGAGATATAAACTTGATTAAATTTTAGAAGAGCTCAGGTTGAGGGCTCTGGGTTCACCCCATCTTTGGCATCTTCTTACCCTCCTTGTTCAATTTGAAGCACATTAAGCATTAGTACATAGTTAACAAATAAACAACTGGAATGTAGTGCTTATGGTAAATGCTGGGCCTCAAGCTTTGAAAATTAACTTCCTCCCTTTATCTACTGCACATGCAGCAACCATGGAAACATCCTTCTCTCTGTCTCACTAATAAGTCTCATCCACAAGACTTTTATCCTTCAAGTAGAAGCAGGCCCAGATTTGTAATCAGGATTCCATTTGCACAGGCCTCCCATGATGCTGTCTGCCCCAAAGATCCCAGTTGCCACTGCTGCAGCAGCTTCAGCAATGTAGGGAGTGGCAGCCAGGCAGGGACTGAAGACCATCCATTAGCCGCTTGCAGTCCAGATGCAGCCCACAGGCCGCCAGTTGGATAGCCCTGCTTGGTGTAGACCAAGCCTTGGTACTTGGCCTGTCTCTTGCAACCACCAATTAGTATCAGTTGTGGGGATGCTGTCAGTGATACTTTTACACTAAGGGTGTGATCCTCTGCTGTGCATGTCAACAGCAGTTTTGACAATAACATCAATGGACAAGAGTTCAGCTCCTGAATACTGAATGGAAATCCCTAAGCAACTTTCACAGAGACCACCCAAAAGCCATCAGGTGGCAGCAATTTTTGGTCACTACCAAATTCAAAATGGTGCCCAAGAGAACAGACTCCATATCAAATTTCTCATCTCTTGTGCCATCAAATATCATCATCAAACCCACAGAATTACAATGAAATGTCATAAGAAACAAGACCTGATTTCCAGTCTTTTCTCAGCTTTCATGCTGGATCCTCAGCTGGTATAAATCAGAGGCATTGATGACAAAAGAACAACCTAGATATGCACTACCTGAAGATCCTTTAATTTAATACTCCATCATGGGAAACAGAGAGTTAGCCAAAGTCCATGCTTATTCACACCTGAGCTGTTCCGTTGTAGGCTGGTGCAAGCTAGCACTATTGACAAAACCAGTTTGAATAGATCAAACTTGACGCCAGACAGAGCACTGACTGTCTGATAGGCAGAAGGCAAAAGTGCATGCATAGAAAGCACATGGTAGTTGACAATCTGATAACAACCCTTCCAACAAATGCAGTCAGAAAGAATGTTAAAGAAAGCAAGTTTGTAAAAAGGAAAGATGTCATAAAAATTAAACAAGCAAAATTAAATACTAACTGGATGCATCTACATGTGCATTAAGGCATTTTTACTAGTGTGCATTAAATTTAGTACCTCTAATGTGAGGTACTAAAGAGATGCACATTAGGCTGCTTTAATGCACAGTAACGAATATGCAGGGATTTTAAGTGATGCTTAATGCTCAGTAGCCTATTTTATTGGTCATACTTTAATGAGCAGTAAAATAGGCTACTGCACATTAAAGTGGGTGTGTAGACACACCCACTGAGAGCTACTTGGTATACTGCAGATTTACTGCCAATAATCCAGTCTTTATTGTGATTGCCCTTTCTTATGTGGTTACCTTTTTTTCATCCAAGCAGAACCAGTTTTATAGCTTTTATAGCTTTCAGTTTTACCACTTTCTTTAACTTCAGCAGTGAAAGACTGAGCAACTAGAAAATACTTAGTTTGGTGCCAGCCCACACTGGCCACGGGCTTCTTCCATTTCTCCTCTGGCTGGATTTCACTGATTTTCTGTAGGACTGATTTTGACAGAGTCTGTATTTTTATTTTTATTTTTTAATTTAACACTTTTTACATTTAGCCTATAGCATCTCTCCTGTTTACAAACTTATATTAAGAATGAATGGGCCTTGATCTAAACAGGGATTGTATCAGGCCCTTAAAAACTACAGGCAACCCCAACTTAGCACTCTTAATTGGTTCCTGAAAAACTGAGCATTAAGCGAAATGAGCGTTAAGTGAAACCTAAAGTATTTGATGACCCAAGATGGCAACTGCAAGTGTTTTCGATGACCAAGGATGGTGACTGAGAGCATTATAACCAATCTCACTGAGTGCTAAGTGGATCCAGGTATTACTTTCAAATGAGTGTTATAGCGAAATAGCACCAAGCAAAACAGCGTTAAGCGGGGGTTCCCTGTTTTAAGGTCCAGGGCATACATGTGTGACTAAATATTGCTCAGTGTGAGTACAGCTGAAAAAAATCCATCCTTTATTTTTTTGCCATTTCAAAACTTCACGAGAAATTGATGTATGTGACACAGGCCTGAATTATGTGGTGATACGCCATTCTACACTAGCGCCAATAGTACCATTATTGCTGACATTGTGAGAGCAGCAATTAGGCTAGAACACAGAGGGGAAAATTTAACAAAATCATTCCTGCAGAGAGGTCTAGTGGGTAGAACTTCTACTGTAGGACTATTTCACAGTATAATTGACCTCACTGGCAATTTTTATGCTATTAAACCTCCTATTCTTTCTCTCCTCCATCTTACTATTCCTCATTATAACCCCTCAGGCCACCTTAAAGCAATTGTCTTCCCTCATTTGTCTTTACAGGCTTGCCATTCTTGTAGGTGGTTGTCCAAACCTTCCTTCTTAAATGCTGTTAAGTATTACCTATTTCATTTTCCTATGCTTTCCACAAGCTCCCTGCGTGGG